TCACCTTCAATCAAAATGAAGCCAAAAGTTCTTTAGAAAGTAGACCCGCCCCTCCTAGACCGCTCTATAGCGATTTATCAATGTATCTAGTGCCGGCCTCACAGTTCCAGGTTGTTATGAATACAAAATGAACAAATAGAAGCCGAATGTTACATTGTCACAGTTAATATTTTCCCTGATGCAGGCTTCCGTTTCCTGGGTCAGCTCCGTAATGCCTTCTGCATTAAAATTGTAATGGCAGTACTGCAGATGTGCACAGGGAGGCAGCAGAGAGCTGGACGATTTTCAGGTACATCGGTGTAGATCGGGGCAATGAATTAAAATTAAAGAGGTCCGGTGAAAAAAATCTTCATCAAGCCGAGGTCCGAATCGCTCCATCTCTTCTCTCTCTCTCCCATCTCTCTCTCTCACTCTCCCCCCTCTCTTCTCTCTCTCCTCTCTTCTCTCTCCCATCTCTCTCTCCTCTTTCTCTCTCCCCCCTCTCTCCCATCTCTACTCTCTCTCTCTCCCATCTCTTCTCTCTCTCTCCCATCTCTCTCTCTCACTCTCCGCCCTCTCTTCTCTCTCTCCCATCTCTACTCTCTCTCTCTCCCATCTCTCTCCCCCACTCACCCCCCTCTCTGCTCTCTCTCTTCTCTATCCCCCTCTCTTCTCCCTCTCTCCCATCTCTACTCTCTCGCTCTCCCATCCCTCCTCTCTCACTCTCTCCCCTCTCTTCTCTCTCTCTTCTCTCTCCCCCTCTGTTCTCTCTCTCTCTCCCCTCTCTCTCACTCCCCCCTCTCTTCTCTCTCATCTCTTCTCTCTCCCCCTCCCTCTCTTCTCTCTCCCATCTCTCTCCCCCTCTCTTATCTCTTCTCTCTCTCCCATCTCTCTCCTCTCTCTCTCCCCCCTCTCTCCCATCTCTCCTCTCTCTCTCTTCCCCCTCTCTTCTCTCTCCCATCTCTTCTCTCTCATCTCCATTTATCTTCTCTCCTCTCTTCCTTCCTTCCTATCTTTTTGTTTTCTTTTTTAGTATTTCTTTGGTCACTATTTATCTGGTGATGTTTCTTTACTGCTTATTCCAATCTTTCCTTCTCTCCCTTTAGTTCCCTTTCTCTCTGTCTCTCACTCTGTGTCTTTGTATCCTTAATTTCTCTCCCTGCCCCCTCTTACTCTTTGTTCCTAATTCACTTTCCCTTCCATTACTGAATCATGTGAAAAGTGCATTCCTGTTTACTCATTTCATCTGCACAGGACTGGATGAGGGAAGTAAATATCCCAAAATGTATTGACTGAACATCCTCAACCCCTATAGTAAATCAGCTTCAGTCTCCCTGTCTCTGTCCCTCTTTTCCTCTCTGCATCTCTCTAGTAATCCCTTTCAGGTCCCTCTATTTCTCTCTCTCTCTCTCTCTCCTCTCTTCCATCTCTTCCCCCTCTCTCTCTCCCCTCTCTTCTCTCTCCACCCTTCCTTCCTTCCTTCCTTCCTTCCTTCCTATCTTTTTGTTTTTTAGTATTTCTTTGGTCACTATTTATCTGATGGTCTTTCAGATACATTTTAGCATTGCCTAAATGTTTATGGATTAGATGAGTTGGGAATGAAGTTGGCCATGCACGGATCAAATTGTTTTGGCATTTCCTGCTAAATCAGCCAAAATTCAATCTATGGGTGGGCCTACTTGCAATTCGCGGCAAAAACAATGACAGTCACTGTTCGGTTATTCGGACAGCTGCAGAGACTGGCTGTTAGAATACAGCAGGGGAGATTCTCGAGGGTCTGAACGAGAACAATCCAAAAGGTGTATGGCACAGGACTTAGGAGATAACCCCCCCCCCCCCCCCCCCCCCCCCCCTCTTCCCCCCTCCA